ATAACCCACTTGTTATTTGGCAAGGGAAACAGTTCACTAACTGTGGTATGCAGAATGCCCTGGAATACTACACAGCAATGAAAAGGAGCAAATGTTATTTCTATACACAACAACCTTGACAAATGTTCATGGAATCATACTGAGTGGAAAAAGGCAGTTCCCAGAGTTATATGATATATACATATATCTACATATATATATATATATATATATATATATATATTACTTCTTTTAGGTGACATTGTCTAAGAGACAGCATCATAATGTAGAAAATAAATGCATAGCTACAAAAGATTAGTGTGGGGAGAAGGGTAGAGAGGGCAGAGTGAAGGGTGGTAGTATCTCTGGAATGTGTCTGGGGTTAGAGGAACTGATTCATGTGCCAAACTTCACAGTGCTTACTTTAACAATCTTGAATAATTTTTAAACTGTTTTGTTGGCTACTGAGCAACATGGCAGGAAGTCTGAGTAGAATGGATCACAGGGCTGAGTGTGCACATGCATGGCCCACACCGTGCATGCGTGGCTCCTGTGTGTGAACATCCTGCAGGGAGAAGGGAACGGCACAACTCAGAGAACACAGCTCAAGCCCAGGCTTGGAAATGCTTTGTGTGTGCCAGTATTGGACTTGAGTTCAGGGCCTCGTGCTCTTGCTTAGCTTGTTTGCTCAAGGCTAAGGCTCTACCATTGGAGCCAGAGCTCCACTTCCAGATTTTTGCTTGCTAATTGGAGATAAAAGTCTCACAGACTTTCCTGCCTGGGTTGGCTTTGAACCTTGATCCTCAGACCTCGGCATCCTGAGCTGCTAGGATTACATATTTTTTTAGAAATAATTATATATTATAAATCTTTACTTATAAGCAGTTACTTACAAACATATTTGCTATAAGTAATAATTATAAGTATTTGAATTATTTAATAAGTAATATATAATTGCATGTACTTTATTGCTAATTACGTATTAGTTAAAAGTGATTACATATTATTTACAAGTAATTATTTATCCTCATATAATTAATTACAATTGTCTATAAGTAACTATTATGGTAATTGCTTATAATTATTTATAAATAGTTACATATCAATTATATGTATAATATGTATTAATATAATATAATGTTAATATAATTTTATTTATAATTAAAATTACATAATAACTGCATAAATATATAACAATTTAGCATAATACGTCTTCATCCCTCAGCCATTAAACCGTTCTGTGATGGTGGTGAGAGAGATAAGCAGACAGGCCGAGCACAGAGCGGGCCACGGCTGTGAGCGCGTTAGTGGAGATGGTGGTTCATGGAGGTTGCCAGAGGCCTGGCTGGCTCAGGGGAACAAGGGCTGCCTTGTGCATGGGGCAGGCGGGACACCATCAGTTTGAGTAGAAGCCTGAGCTCCCTCACCTGGTGGGGACAGGGGACCAGGTAGCGTGCTCTGCACCCCAGGTCTGACCCTGGCCCTCGCAACCATCTCTGGATATCCACAGTGCATAGTACCTTTCCCTGGCCATTGCAGCCAACAGCTGGTGCTGTTCAGGGGACGTCTCAGACAGTCCCAGCCACACACCAGAAAGGCCCTTGAGGTGAGAGTCAAGGGAGGTCTGCTTGCTGGGGACCTGTGAGTCCTGTGGCCCCGTGCCCACCCTTTTAACACCACATCCAGAGCCCGCAGTGCTTCCTGCCCTCGGGGTCATGTCCCCTTTATCTGCAGGAGGACTGCAGGGGGTTGCGATTGCTGAGAGCTCCCTAGAGACCCAGTGCCACCTCCTCCTCCTGCTGGCCCCTTGGGTATTGCCTGGAGAGTGAGTCCCCAAACCTTATTCTATGTTATATATTTTATTTTATCTCAAAATCTATTAGCATTCATTGTCTTTTAGAACAAGGCAGATCAGACTATCTGAGCATAGGGTAGGGTCCCTATAGGTACCTATGGCACCTTTGTATTGATGTTTTTTAGGTGTTACCTGAATAGACAGATGACCTTAGCCCTAACTTGCATTCTACACAATGTCTCTGGGGACAGGTGAACGGGGAGTACATTTGAATGCTCAGCTGCCAAAATCTGGAGACCATGAGTGCCCCTGCATGAGCCTGGGAGTTCATGGAGCCCAGAGATCAGGATGCACTGTGTGTCCCTCTCCCACCAAACTGAACATTTGGGCTCTGTGTTTGCTTCTTGGTACTCCGAGATCCTATGACTTTGTTTAACTATTCTTCATCAGAAGAAACAAGAGACCTTGCTCGGGAAGGTCTGAGCATGCAGAGGTAGCAGGGTCTCCTCCTGGAGCCAAGGAGCCCTGTTTTACAGAATTTCCCATCTTCTTCACCACACCTCAGCCCAGGATAGAAGAAAGGAAAGAGGAGGAGGGGGGGTAGGAAAAGGTAGAGGAGGAGGAAAAGGAGAAGGTAAAAAGGGAGGAGGAGGAAGAAGAAAAAGAAATAGAAAAGGAGGAGGAGGAGGAAGAAAAAGAACAAGAAGTGGTCATTTAAAAAGTTCAACACAGGCCCTGAGTTCAAACCTCAGAACCAGCAAAAAAAGAAGGAAAAGGAAGAGCAAAGCAGAAGCGGCTGAGCAGCTGTAGAGCTGCAGGAAAGCAGGAGCCCAGGGATTGGATAAAATGTCCTGCTGTCATTGAGATGCCTGTTCACCAGAGCCCTCCTGTGCTCAGTTGTGAAACTGAGGCTGATCCGCGGTTCTTCCCCCTCCTGGATTCGGAGGCTGGCTTGCCTGTGTATGGGTGACTCAATGGCTCATGACTCCAACAGAGATGACTTGCCTGGGTCTCTGTTGCTGCCTGAGCCTGGCTTCCTGTTCACGCTGGAGCCAAGTACCCTCTGACCAGTTGGGATGGAAACACTGGAGTGTCGGCTGTCCTCTAGCTAAAAGCTGATGCTGGGCATGGCTGGCCAGTTCTGCAGCTTGACTTGTGCTAGCACAGGTTCAAGCGCAGGTTGTGGAGGGCAGGGCAGTCAGAGGGCGGGCAGCATGTGTTGGGAGGGGCGTGATTGTGTGAGAGAGTCCTAGGGCCTCTTCTCTCCAGCCTCGTTCCTCACCAATAAAAGCATCAGGTCCTCTCCATCCCTTCTGTCAGCTGACTCACACCTGTCATCCTAGCTTCTCAGGTGCCTAAGGTCTGAGGATCACAGTTTGAAGCCAGTCCAGGCAGGAAAGTCCATGAGACTCTTATCTCTAACCAGCAAAAGGCAAGAAGCAGAGCTGTTGCACAAGTGGTAGAGTGCTAGTGTTGAGCAACCAAAGCTAAAGGGAAGCACCCAGGCCCTGAGCTCAAGCCCTAGGACTGGCACACGTGTGCACATATGCACACACACACACACACACACACACACAAAGGCACCTTGGCTTAGAGCTAAGTTTCATTTGTTTACTGGGGATCGCAGGTGAATTCACTCAGCTAAAACATAGATGAGGCCTACAGCAGGTCCCCCTCCCTGACTCTGCCCACTCCCTGGGAAGCCACCTCCTCCATAAACGTTACTCATTGCCCTTGGATCCTGTCTATTCTCTACTCTTACCTAGACTTAGAGATATGCCAAAAGAGGTGGGGGGGGCTAAGCTACTTCTCAGGTGCACTCCAGCTACCTAATGAACATCAACCCAAAGAAGGGGGGCAATATAGAAACTGATAAGAAATATACTGGCCAATAGAAATTGATTTCCAGGTTCTTTCAAGATGCCCAGGACTGGTAGTATACATTCATTCCGGGGCTGCAAACCGCATGCACTTCCCAATCCTGCACGTCCTGCCTGCTGTCCCAATCAAATTACTATATTCCAGAAATATGCATAAGGGAATTGATTACACACATTTTTATAGTGGGTTGTTGTTTGTAGCAGCAATTGAAGTACCTTTTCCGCTTATGAAAGTACTAATTGTATTTGTTTTTATTGCTTTGCTAGATGCAATTATTTATTTAGTGTGCTTTGGCGTTATTCAATTATGTGTACTATAGGAACATCATAAAAATGTATGAAAACAACACAGAAGCCCAGGCTGGTGACCTGTATTGAGAAAACGTGTTATTTTTCATATCCAAACCTAATGAAATAACTTAAGAATAAATAGATAATCTACACTAGAAAACAATGCAATTTCAAGGCAAATGCAATAAAAAAAACACCTGGACAATATGATTTCATAAATCTTGGTTCTAAAATTTACATGAGTTGGGTTTTGAGTGTTCATGGGAAGACACGGGGCATTTCTAAATGGAAGCATTATAATGTGAAATGTGATGAAACCCAAAGCAGGGTTTTATGGGCAAGTAAGATATGAACAACCAGGAGCCAAGTAAAGATGTGTGTGTGTGTATGTGTGTATGTATATGTGTGTGTGTGTGTGTGTGTGTGTGTGTGAAAACACAAGCAGAGACTCTTAAAAATGGTGAGACAATTCATGCAGGCTGCTTAGCTGTATCTTGTCAGGAGCCTCACCTGATGTGATCAAGATGGCATTCTCTCTTCTACATTGACACTAATGAATACATTCACATTTTGTAGCCAGGCAGCAGTAGCTCACACATGTAATCCTAGCCTCTCAGGAGGCTGGCATCTGGGGATCACACTTTGAAGCCATCCCCAGCAGTGAGATCTAAACTTACTTTATTTGGGGTTCCATATATGCTTTAAAACTTTTTGGGCTGGGCTCTAGTGGCTCACGCCTGTAATCCGAGCTACTCAAGAGGCTGAAATCGGAGAATCTTGCTTCAAAGCAAGAAAGTCTGTGAGACTCTTATCTCTAATTAACTACCAAAAAGCTGTAGGGTGAGCTGTGGCTCAAGTGGTAGAGCACTAGCCTGGAGCAATGCCTAGGCCCTGTGTTCATGACCCAGGACTAGCACTAAACCCCACCCTCCCCCCCAAAACCCCAGAATGTTGATTCATTAGTTTCCCTTTAAACCCCCCAAATGCGGTGAAAACACATGTGTGATGAATAGACATGTGGTATCACAATTAGAACTGTGTTGTTGTCTCCACAGCCAAAGATTGCTGAAGAAAACCTGACCTACGCGGAGCTCGAGCTGGTCAAACCACACCAGGTGCCTAAAGGCGTGCCCACCAGCACCGTGTATGCACAGATCCTCTTTGAGGAGAACAAGCTGTAGCTCCGCCCCCAGTTATTTATGAAGCCCCAGAAACAAAGCCCCTATTTTTGTATTATCACTCGTGCCTTCTGTGCAGTGAGGAGCCCCTTCCCGGCTGCATTTCAGTGCCTTCCAAGAGGTACGAGGCTGCTTCCCCGCGGAAGAGGGGTCCCAGCCCTTGGACAAACCTCTCACGACGTGCAGGCCCTAGGCTGACCCTCGGGGTCCAAGAACTCTGCTCCGAGAGCACCGGAGGACTTTGCTGAGCCATCTTCTTCACCCTCTTGTCTTCTTTCCCTGGGTTTTAATTGGTTCAAATCTTTTTAAAAAAAAAAAAAAACCTTCATTTTCTACCCTTTCTGTATCTGTGGCACCCAGTCCTTAGATTATAGCTGCAGGAAGTGCCATTAGAGGCAGAGGGTAAGATGGCACACACAGTTTTCCAAGGTGCAGATGACACTGCCTGGACACCAAGAATACAGGAAACCATGATGGCAGCCGCACGGGATGATATCTGTTGCTTTAAACAGATGCACCAACCCTGCTAACGTTGAGAGCCGGAGTGTGACAGACCTGAGGTCTCTCCCCAGGAACCCTGGTGCCTCTCTCCTCACTCATCATTCTCTGAAGTTCCAGATCCAGAAGGCGCCATTCCAAAGCCCTGGCCTTGCAACAGGCCTGAGCCAACAGAGAAACTCACATCTTGCCTTTTGCCAAAGAAATAAGCTTGTGACACACTCCTATAATCCTAGCTATCTGAGAGGCTGAGAACTGAGGATCATAGCTTGAATCCATCCCAGGCAAGATCGTCTATGGAACTCTTATCTCTAGTTAACCACCAGAATGACCAAGGAGAGATATGGCTCAAGTGGTAGAGCATCAGCATTGAGCAAAAGAGCTAAGGCACAGCACCCAGGCTCTGAGTTCAAGCCCTAGTACTGGCATAAAAAAATCAAAAAAGGGAAAGGATGAAGAGAAAGAGAAGAAGAGGAGGAGAAATGCTTGCCACCAATGGACAAAGGGCAAGAAAGTCTCTTCAAAGTGTGCTGAGCTCTGGTCAGCTGGTGCTGAGTGCCTGCTTGTGGGAAAGCAGGGTCTTTTGCCAGGTTTCCTTAGGGCAGGAGAAGCAGAAGTACATACCACTCTGGAAACCTGTCCTGACACCCTGCTCCTACCCGCGCCATGCCATCTCACCTTTGCTGTGAATTCTGATTGGCTTGTGTGGGTGTCAGGAGTGTGGATGTTCATCTGTGGGGAAGTTGTTCTGTGGGACACATGGTGTATAAGAATCTTGGACTCGCTGAGTGGATTCTTTGTGCAAGAGTCACTCTGTGCTTACTGTTAAGGATGTTTCTGATAATGTGCGTGTACTCTGGGTGGCTATTCATGGCACACTATGGAAGTTACTTGGCTATGTAATGGACCTTGTACATGTGATAAATCATCTCTTTTAAACACAGCTGGTGTATGAGTTATGTCCATCAATATTGTGTGACATTGGTTGAATTTCTTATCCCCTGATAGTCTCAGATTCTATATGTGTGTAAAAGTGACTTGGGTTTTTATAGAATTCTTAAGGGGAAGATGGGAGAAGGGATATTCCCAGATTCTGGAAACTGTAAATTGCTATACACATGATCTCATTAGAGATCTAGTTTAAAGCCATCTGAATTGTCAAAAATCTCTGAGGCCTCCATTACAATAGTAATTTTTTCCAGCACTGGGGATTATACCCTGGGTTTTTTATATGCTAGATATGTGTACTCTATCTCTGAGCTACACCCCTAGTTCTAAAATAGCTTCAAAATGTACCATGAACCAGTGGCTCACACCTGTAATCCTAGCTACTCAAAAGGCTGAGATCTGAGGATTGAGATTCAAAGCCAGCCTGGGCAAGAAAGTCTGTAAGACTCTTATCTCCAATTAACTACCAAAAAAACCTCTAAGTGGAGCTGTGGTACAGGTGGTAGAGCACTGGCATTGAGCAAAAAAGCATAGGGAGAGCCCAGACCTCAAGTTCAAGCTTCAGGACTGTTCCCGGTCCTCCAAATAAAGGCAAAATTTTGTCCACAAATTTAGCTCTGTAGTAATAGGAGTCGTTCTTGTGTATTATCCAGAACGAATCAAATGGATACCAAGAGAGTTCTCCCTTTACAAAATGAAAATTTAACCTCTTCCCAACACCTCAACATCTCATTCCGTCTCTACCAGATCTGAAAGGTAATGGCTATGTCTCACAGTGTGTGAGGAGGGAAGACTGTTAGAAAGAACTTGCTACAATCAAGGTCATCCTCTTTGGGAAGGGAGACTGTGGCTGACACTTCCTTCATATTAAAATTGTCATGGAAACACTCTATGTTATCTTGGAAGTGTTCCAGCAGATGGTGGTACAGCAGTTTGAGGATGCATGGTGATTCCTATCATATGTACAAAGACCCACATGGGTAGGTGAGACCACCAAAGTACCAGGTGGGATGGAGAATTGGGTGTGTGGCAAGGTACAGGCCACATCTTCAGATACGCTTAGGTCTCCAATTGTACCCTTTATAACCAGTGAGAACTAGGAGCTAGAAACAAACACATTCCACTAAGCATAGCACAAGCTTTAGTGTGTGTGTGTGTGTGTGTGTGTGTGTGTGTGTGTGTGTGTGTGTGTGTGTGTGTGTGTGTGTGTATTAGAGCTTGATCTCAGAGCCTCATGCTCACTGTTGTTTTCTTGTTTGTTTTTCCCTTAAGGCTGGCACTCTACCACTTAAGCCATACCTTCACTTCTGGCTTTTGGTGGCTAACTGGGTATAAGAATCTCACAGGCTTTCCTGCCTAGGCTAGCTTTAAACCAAGAGTCTCAGATCTCAGCTTCCCGAGTAGCTAGGATTGCAGGCGTGAGCCACCAGCACTTGGCAAAAGTATAGCACGTGTTTTAAAAGCTGATTTGAACCTGTCATTATAGATTCAGTTCAGCCCTCTTCTCTCAAACTCTGGATATGCACAAATTGACACAAAGATGTGCGATAGGAGATCTGCTGACCATCCCTCCCTGAAGATGTTTCTCAACGGAGAATGGAAGCTTCAAACCGCATCTGTGCAGAGCTTGGCCCCACTGGCCTGTCATCTCCACCCAGACCTGGAGGCAGTGGAGGATTTATACCTGATGCTTGTTTGAGGTAATCAATGTGATCATTTTTGCCATTGTGAGCTTTAAAAAATGTGCCTGAGCCAGGTATCAGAAGCCCATGCCTTTAATCCCAGTTATTCAGGAGGCTGAGATATGAGGATTGCAATTCCAGGACAGCAGGAGCAAGAAAACCCATGAGACACTTATCTCTAATTAACCACCTCAAAGCCAGAAGTGGAGCTGTGGCTCAAGTGGTAGAGTACTCACCTTGAGCAAAGAAGCTCAGGGACAGCACCCAGGTCCGGACTTCAAGCCCCAGGACCAGCACACACACCTCCACACCCCCTCCCCCACACACACACAGTGTCTGCTCACTTATTCTGTATTATTGACATTTCTAAAGCTAACCATTTAGATAGAAATTAGGAAAACTTTTCCAGTTTGTTCTTACAAGGCATCACTGGGGGCAACTACAAAAGAATTGTTTTCTTTTTTTCTTTTACTTTTTTTTTTTGTTGTTGTTGGTCGTAGGGCTTGAACTCTGGGCCTGAGCGCTGTCCCTCAGCTCTTCAGCTCAAGGCAAGTGCCCTACCACTTGAGCTACAGCACCACTTCTGGTTTTCTAGTGGCTTACTGGAGATAAGAGTCTCATGGACGTTCCTGCCTGGGCTGGCTTTGAACTGTGATCCTCAGATCTCAGCCTCCTGAGTAGCTAGGATTACAGGCATGAGCCACCAGCACCCAGCAGGAATCATTTCCCAAAGGGACTACTTATAAGTTTACCGTAGTCCAAGAAAACAGACCCATCACTCACAATACAGCGGCAGAGAAGACTGGCTCAGATTTGGTGATGATGTGGCTAGGGTGAATCACCACAGTAAGCAAAGAGGGGTAACAAAATTATACCTGAGTATAGTTATCTTATATCCCTGTCAAACAAAGCCCTAGTCCAAGAGCTAAAGCAGCTTTGGTAGAGGAGAGAGCTGGCTTTAGTATAGCCCCTAGCACTCGGGGAAAAGACTAAAAGGCCAAACCTACCACTTCTTGAATCTTACTGGTGTAAAAATAACATACATTCATCATAATTTGAATGTATAATGAAGTAGGTTGGTCCTATGGCTAATGACTCTCTTTTTACTGATGATTCACAGCCTTCTTGTCACTTTGGTAAGCATATCTATAAAGAGTTTGGGCAAGTTGGGTGCTGGTGGCTCATGCCTGTAATCCTAGCAACTCAGGAGGTTGAGATATGAAGACTCTGGTTTGAAACCAGACTAGGCAGGAAGGTCTGAGAGATTCTTATCTCCACTAAAAAAAATAGTTGCAAGTAAAGCTGTGGCTCAAGTGATAGAGCCTTAGCCTTGAGCAAAAAGAAGCTCAGGGACAGTACCCAGGCCCTGAATTCAAGCCCCAGGATCAGCACAAAAATATTAATAATAATAATTATTATAAAGTATTTGCACATAATCCAGTACACCCTCCTAAGTACTGTAAACAATCTGTAGATGAGTTATAATACCTGATACAAAGCAAATGTTATGCAAAGAGCTGTCCTATCCTGTTGTATAGGGATCAATGCCAACATACTTCTATTTCAAATACTTTCAGCCCACAGTTGGTTGACTCTGTAGATGCAGCTCCTATGGATGGGAAAGCCATTGTAATCCCAAGCCCCTACTACAGTCTGCACCCTACCTTTTCAGCAGACCCATCCCAGGCTCTGAAGATGTCCTCAATGGAGCACTAATGGACTCCTGCTCTCCTTAAGGAATTGACTTCTTAGGAGCAGAACAGGGACCCGAGCATGGCTGAAGTAGTAGGCAGAGGGTGGTGACTCCATGGGCCGGTACATATATATGGTAGGAGCCTATTTGTGTTGGCTGTATAGGTAAGATGGCTTCCATCCAGAATGTGATGTCCTTTCGAGTCTCCTGATCTTGGAAACTGGGCTCAGAGGGTGAGCCTAATTTATATGAGACTCACCCAGAAGCATACCCTAGCCCTCATACCTGGGGCAGAAGCGATTAACTGGGAAGGAAAAGGAAACAATTTCTGCTTTCAGGAAAGCAGGCTCTGCATTCAGGGAAGCCTTGTTGGGCTTGGGTTGTAGGAAAGAGTCAGATGTGTGGGCATGAAGACTAGCATTCCTGGAAGTGGACAAATCCTTGGTGGCCTCTGTAAAATGGGGATCCTGGCTCAGGAGATCTGGGACAGGACCTGGGATTTTGAATTTCAAAGAAGCTTCCAGGGAATATATCCATGCTCTGGCCCCTGGGCCCCACTTTGAGTAGTAAGCACATAAACTGATGGAAACAGGGCACCAGAAATGGGTGCCTTCAGACTTCATGTCAAAGCTGGAGCCCTGACAGTAGGCAAAAACCTCAGGGAGAGGCCACTGGAAGGAGAGAAGGTGCCCAGGGCTGGGCAGTGCATGTACCTAACTTGGCAGCTCCAGAGTTGCTGAGGAACCTGGAAAAAGAGACCAAGGACAATGAATGGGTTGAGCGCGCCAGGAGAAGGCTGCCTTCTTTTCTCAAGGGAACTACTCAGCAGTGTGAATTCTGGGTGGTCACCTAGATAGGAAGTTGTGCTCTTTCTTTGCTCATTCTGAATGTATAGTATATATCTCTTTTTTTTTTAATTTAATGGTGTTTTCCTGAGAGAGAAACATAATCTCCAAGTGCACAAGACTAACAGATTTTGGCTCTTGGTCGTGTCTGCTTCACTTCGTGTAGCATTTTTCTGA